GCCTATAGATTTAACTTGCAAAGGCAATGATCTGAGCCTATGATGTAAGGGAAGAGAGCAACCAATTTACTGACTTTTCACAAACATTCCAGTGATAAAAGGACAAACTGGGTGCTCCCAGGCACTTACGACAACTAAATGTACTTACCATTTCTGTTTGCCTTTTAATCTTAATTATTCTTCTGTTATTGAATTAAAATAAAATCTGCAGTAAAATAATTGCAGTACTTACTTTTTACCCTTAGGAAAACAATTAGCATGTAGCACTCCCTCATTCTGTCATGCTTACACATCATACATCCCCTCTACACTGCCTCTCTAGTTAAAGAGCCATAGCTAATAATCAGACTTTGAAATGGCTAAAATGTCAAGCTTTAGTAGAAAAAACAAAAGCTGAAATATGAAATGGAATGGAGAAATCTTAAAAATAGACATGAAAAAGGAAATGTGAAGCTCAGTTCAGCTACTTCCTCTGAAAAGCTATTCTAAGTTGCAGCAAGAGATTCTGTAACAACCCTTGTGTTGATTTCTGGGTTTGACCTTCAGCCTTCATTAAAAATTTGTGTACTGGCTGTATTTGAAAAATCAGAAAAGCTTATTGAAAATTTAATTGTAAACGGACAATATGGAAGGGCGTGTAGCAGTGAACTAGCTGGGTAGGACCATCTCTGCAGAGAAATGTTCATGCTTCTTCATTCTAGAGTGAAAAACTAGATGTGAATCAGTAAGACATGACAAAAAGTTGTTGTAGAAAAACAAACAGGGAAAAATAAAGATCGCAACCACAGTAAAAAAAAGTTCCACAAAGTCAATGCAAAGCTGAAGTTGAAAGTTCAAACACAAAACTGTAGAAAGCCAGTTAGTTTTAATATTTAAACAAAAAGTGAATCAGGTTTTTCATATGTTTATTCAGGTCCTGCCACCTACTAACCATCTATCGTAGGAAAGCAGGAAAGACTGCTCCCAGTGACAATTAGAAAGGCTATTGTGAGGCAGCACTTGATACAAACTCAGCTGAGCTTAGCAGAGCAGTAGACCTCATACAAAGACTGTCAGTGGCTCTAGATTATGTCTTACATACAATAACTATTGCTTGAAGAATAAACATAATATTTTTCATTTATTATTTATAATTTTTTTCTCTCAAGGAGATCTGTGGTTATGGCTGTCTGAGAAATTTTAGATGCCAAAGTCTCAGGAGAGCCTGAAGAGAAAGTAATTCTGAGAGAAAGTAATTCTGAGTAAAAGCACATATCAGCATATATATAAAGCCGTGTCGATTTACCAGAAAATAGTACTTATAAATTTTGAAAAAAATAAAGAAAGAACCCCTTTTAATGGCTTAAATTAAATCATTTCTATTTGGCCATCCTGTAGACCATATTCCATCCAAAATTTAATTACCCTTCACCTTTAGAATTTTCAAAAAGTAAGGATTTCAATTTAGTTATAAATGTTGTAACTAGCCACTTTAATCATAACTTAGACGTACAATTCTTCTTAGGAAATTATGGTATTAACAATTCACAGATGCTTTGTTTTTCACTTTTTCGGTTCAGCTTTTGATATTTTTTTAAAAAGTAGTACAGCTTTTCCTCTCTTAGGCTAATGTCAGAATAAATGTGTATCATTGATAGGTTGGAAGCCTATAGGCAAAGCATTATAATACTGAACTTAAACATTTCAGAGAAACAACAACACAAAAACACAAAACACAGAAGGTAAAATCTGTTTAATCCCATGTTTTGATTTCTCTTCCTTCATTCTCATTACTCAGCAAAATGAAATTGAAAATACCTCTTGTATACTGTCATTTTCTTTGACATTAAATTCTGTGGTTAAAATATAACAGCATTTCAAAAACACAGCTAATATGGGTACCACTTATATTTTAGTTGCAATAGTTCATTTGAAGTGCAGTTTGCAAAAGACTTCTGGCCAGCACTGAACAGATTACGGAGCAACTACTGTGAGCAAAGCGAGAGCAGCACTGCTTTAACTTAGTCAAAATGTTAATCCACAGTGAGAATCACAACATATATGTAGAAAAAACTCAACTTCAGCTTTCACCCGCTATAGTTATCAACCACAATTTCACCCAGCCTGAAATCAGCCACAGATCAAGTTCCCCTAGACTTAATTTATTTTTGGCACAATTAGGATAGATGGAAAAATACAGGGAATTTGAACAAAATCCTACACTTTGACAATCATACTGAGTTGTAGATTGCACACAGTTCGATATTGTCATTAATGGGAACTAACGTACTTAGTGAGGAACACAAATATCTCACTAATTCCTACCAAATCAATAACAATATAGACTAGGATGCCATTTTATCAACTCTGTGAACCAGCACCACTGTGCAAGAACAGTGTCCTTAGCTCCAATCCAAATGCCATTACCAATGTGCATTCTCCCTGTTCCCTACTAGAACCACATACTAATCATCTCCAATGGCAGTAAGCACTCTTCTCATTTTCAATAAGCTTTTCTCCAAAGCACTGTTTTCCTCACAAGATGCTAATGGAGAAAAAAAGAATGGCAAATAGGCAATGCACGAGGATGCAGTCACATATCTACAGACTTTCTTTAGTATGAAAAAATCCCAGGATAAGGAATCCTACTGACATTCATGACTATGGGAATTTTGGACAACAGCAGCGCCTAACCTAACAACCTCGTGTGACTGAGGGCCTCATGAACAATGTGAAACTGGAGAATCTCAGAGGCTGGGACCTTCCTGAAAAGCTCTGAGAATCAGTCTCAGATTCACTGGAAAGCTAGGAGGATGTGAGCAAGAACCAAGCTTATTCCTCCAGTTAAACCTTTTAGGGGGAAGTCTGGAAAAATGAGAACATTCCAAAGCGTCAAACTTTTACAAAAGAAAATATCTATCTGTAAAGCCCCTATATAGTAGTTTACATTAGTAATTCAGCAATGAAATACTTAAAACGAAAGAGCGCATGATATGTACTCTTATGTCACCATCACATTTGACAGAATACGGGATTACTATGAAATTATCATTTCCAAATTCACATGTTGAAATTTTCTGACTGCTGATATATTTCAAAATAATTTTGGAATCATCAATTGAGCATGCTAACTTAATCCTGAAACTTGTATTAGTAGATATTAAACTGCTCTTACTTACCTGTCTACTTACCTGCAAACAGACCTACCCATTATGGTAACAGCTGCCATTTTGATGTACCACTTTCCGTTTCAGTAAATACCTCTGAGCAGAGCAGTTAGTCATTGCATCACACAACCTAATCCCTTACTGTCTTGCTCCTTATGTTGCCATATTGATCTATGTAAATGGATTCCCAGAGTTCTCCATACGCCATTTACAAATTACAAATTTCCATTTACCATTTACACAAACAATTACCATTTCTCCATTTATACAGTGATGTGAAAACTGGTCCAGCAATTTGGGATTAGGTTCAGAGAGCCTTTCATTAAAGTCCCATTTCAGCACAGAGGACTTGCATGACCTTGGGTAAGTCTTCTTGCACCTAAGTATCACATCTTTAAAACTGCTTAACATCATGGCGAAAACTGAAACTACCACAAAAAAATTAAAATAACAGAATACTTTCTCCAAAATTATGACTACCTGTTAGTCAGTCAATAAATACCTTCAAAAAGACACACTGTACCAAGAAATATTTAGTTTCATTCTAACTTGCAACTTCAAAATGTGTCTTGCTCCTATGTGAGGCATAGCATGAAAGTTTCCATAGAAGAAAATAAATATTGCATGTTTTTCAAAATATTCATTTTTCTTATAGGTATACATACACAGAGATATTATTTTATATTTTTCATACACATTCATATACATTTAAAATTTTTCCAAAAAATTTGATCATTCTTCTCCACAATTACACTGGATAATCTCCTTTCTGTATCTTGTATAGCCCTATGTCCATTAATCTGATACAGCTGTCTTAGTAACTTAATAACGCAGATATTCATAGGGTGATCACACAGCAAGAAGTCAGTAGAGAACAGCAAGAGCAGCTAAAGTAACTTTCAGACTACTTTATCCTTCCCTTATTTCTCTTCAGAGAAGTTAAATCAATAAAGATCTTCCTCACCAGTACAAGACATTCTCCCTATTCTGCATATGAGTTGCTTGTCTCAGAGCTTTTTCCATTGCTGTTTTTATGAAAAGCTGTGGTCCAGAGCAATACTGTTAGTTGCTTTCTTTTTAATGCCACTGGATCTTATTTAAATGTTCCCTGTTGAAATTAAAAGACTATGAAAAGCACAGAGAAAACAGTGACTACGAAAACCCTAAGTACTGAAGAAACAACACTCAATGGGTTTTTTTAGGCTCTTAAGAACATAATACTGGATGATCCTGATTTCTTGAAGCACCTTTTTATCCATTATCATCACAGAAAATTCTGCTTAAATTCACTTTACAAAGTAATCCACTGATGACTACATTTATATGAATCTGACTGTTTTGATAGGCTTTTCCCCACAATGTTATGTTCACTATAAATAGTGAAGATGAAGGAGGAAAGATCTGTAGAGCCATGCAGTTGGTGCTGAGAACACAGTTTCCAAACTACACATTTCAGGTTTATTTTAGACTAACTCCAGTCAGGCTCCTTGGACTATTAGCTACATTAAGGGTGCTCCTACAGCGCATCTTCCATTCTAGTTTCAAGTAGAATAGGGTCACATACTTATAGACAGCTCCACAATGTGAACCAAAGCCTGTGGGGACAATCAGAAGATTCCACTTGAAACACACATTGCTGCTCCATCCTAAACAGCTAATACAAAAGCACTCATCATGTGAGATCTATAAACCAAGTTCCATCTTTGGATCTCCTGTGATTTGGCACTTCCTTACTTTAGTGAAATTATTCCCAAATTGTTCAGAATAAGTAAAAGCGCAATACAAGTTTAAAGGAATTTTACAGTATATCTCTTTACCCCTTTTACCACACAAGCAAAAGATTCAGGAGCTTACCATATCTGTGTCTGAAACAGGTCCAAAACTGGTCACATAGATGTTAGTGAAGACTTCAGTAATACTGTCTGATATAAAAAGAAAAAATAAGCAAACATTTTAAACTTATAGCGTTTGCTCAGACTCTCCATACAAAATTATGGGACGTTATGAACAAGTTCCTATCTTTATTTACTTCTCCTAACCAGTATCCTGTTGTAAATACTGGTGATCTTTATCTCACTGAATTATTCTGCAATTACCAGAGGTTGTTAGATGAGAGTTTGCCCTGCTGAGTAGCTCATTTCAGTCAAAGGACTATACAGCCATCAGTAAGTACACACATATTTCCCACTTCTCCACCAGCAAAAATAACTGCACTGTCTTGGACTTAACAAAGCAGTACAGTTCTTAGCATAAAATGCCTTTGTTGCAGAGCTGTTATTTCTATTGTTGCAGACCATTTCTGTTAAAGCCTTTCTAATTCAGTGCTATTTTCTTCATCCTGAATAGCTTTTTCAAAGCCAAAGACAGAAAAGGCTTACTGATGACAATAAGCTTTTCAATTACTGATGACACCAAAAGTAATGTTCAGCAGTGCACTGTATTTCAACTGGGCATGTTTTTAAGTGACACATGTTTTCACAGAATAGTTCCTTCCCTTGATACACGATGCTCCTGATACATTGTTGTGGATTATTGTGTAAATAGTGTAGAAAAAATGTGCATCCTAATCATTGCAGTTAGACAGCCATGAAATCAGAATATTAAATACTTCACTGTGGGGAAAAATAATTGTTGAGTTTTCTATTTTCAGTTTTCAATTAGGCTCAAAACTGAATGATGTGCTAACAGGGATCGCATTCACACGCAGGAAATTTCTAACAGCAGTTGCCAACGACTGTGTGCTATCAAGACAACCAGCACAAGGAACTCTCTGCCTTAAAGCCAATCGTTGGCTGAAAAAGAAATATTTAAATACAACTATCTGTAATTTGACACACCTCAGAATTTCCCTTTCCTAAAAAGAATACTGCTGCGCATTCAAGTATCATATGAAATCTATGCGTTAGAGTCTTTAATATTGTTAAAAGCTATCTTTTGACAAATATGTGGCATAGGCAGATTTTGCTTGTAATTGTAGGGGCCAATAATATAACCACTGTCCTCTAACAGGAGAAATCCTCAGTGTTCACCCATGACTAGAGAGCCTCTACCAGCCACGAGACAAGGGCAAGACTTTTCTGAGAGCAGTGTATTATCAAAGAGATGTAGCTGCACCCAAAGCAGGGATAGGGTGATATAATACTTTCTGCAAACTCCTAGAAAATTGTGAAGGCACATTCCTGCACCTTTGAAGAAACTTGCATTGACTTCTCCACCCCATCAGTAGACACGTCTTTATTAGAATAGAGGACTCAATATTGTCCTTCCTACTCAAAAGCACATTCTTTTCAGGATTGCTTCTTCTCTTTTTGCAGCAAATGAAGGCTGACTCTTACTATGCTGTCGTTTAGAAACCCTGAGAGTTCAAAAAGTGTGCTTCCCCTGCACATCCTGAGACATGTTTGTTTATCTGGTAGAGACTACTGTAACCCCATATATGGGGTCCACATACAAGCAGAGTTGATTCCTACCCCAAATAGTTTACAAACTGAGTTTAAGTGACTGGACGCGGTGAGGTGCTGGGTCTGCACTATTTTCAGTATTCGACATGGATAAAGTATGGATCTGGCTGAAAATTGTATGGAAAACACATATACAGTTCAGAAGACTACTGACTGCATGGTGCCTGTGGGAGAGACTCCAGAAAAAGGATTATTCTCTCCAAATGGTCACTTGGCACAGGCTAAGATGAAATGCAAAAGTGACAAGACACACTACTCTTTAGGGGGTAAAACACTGCTGCTGGCAATAGTTGTGAAATTTGGCCTGTACTGCAAGGACAACATGCAATCTTAATAATAATTCAATGCAAAACACTAGTGTTAATGTATGACTGACAGCGAAAACAACCCCAACAACAAAAAGCCAAGGCTAATTTCAAACATACTGGTATAATCTGAAGTAATTCCATTACAGGCAACAAAATCTGTTAGAAAATCTGAATTTCCCCACCCACCCACCCCAAATCAGAGTTACAGTTGGAAGCATGGTCTTTTTGTAACCTCACTCTATTGCTATCAGTTGTTTCCACTTGACATAGTATTTGACATAGAAGAATGTCTTTACAATCTGCATATAGTAAATCACAGAACATGAAGTCTCTAGGTTTGCCTTGCATTTAAGTTCAATAGAAAAAAAAGGCAGTCCCATAATCTATCCATTAAAATCATATTAGCTCTGCACACTGCTGGATCCATACTTCCAGCAGAAATGAGCAGTGAAGACAGAGTTGAGGATGAACAAATAGACTACAACATGCAGTTGAAAGTTATCACAACAGTCTGAAGATTTCTCTTGTTGGCTGTACATTCATCACTTCAGATCAAGGATCCTCATTACCCTTGGAGTCAAGGATCAAGACTTGAGGTGGGGGAAAATGGACAAGAGGAAGGAGAGGCATGCAATCTGGAGACCATCAGCTACAAGAGCTTCATTCCTGACTGCCATAATTAAGGCCAGCACTTCAATCTATGTAAGAAGTACTGGGGCAAATGCATCCCTTATAGCCTCAGGAATAGGAATGGATACAAAGTAGTCATACATCTTTGTTTCTTTTTGTCAAAATTGCCTTCAGTCTCCACAGTCACTCACTGGTGACAGCAGTGAGTTTCAACGCAACCAGTTGCTCTCTCCCCTGACCTGAGGGTCCTTACTGACTAAATGCAGACACCCCAACAGCGGCTTCTCCACTGCAAGTGAGAGCTAGACTGTGGCAGAGAATGTAGGGAGAAAGCAGAATGTCTTGAAATTGAGTATGAAGGTGACCAAAAAATAAAACTCATAAGTTACAAGAGATGAGATGACTGAAGGAAAAGGAAGCGTAGAAGAAAACAGAACAAAGGAAAACAGATAAAAGGAAAGGCAAAAGCACAGAAAACTACAGGAGGAATCGGTAGGTTTTTATTTCTGCCTATTTGCTGTCAAAATTCTGCATATTTTTTAACTCTCTACCTACACTGCATACAAGCAAACTGGTCCTTAAAGAGGAATAAAGCCAAAATGTAGTGAGTCTTCAACTATTCCTGTTATAATCTGTTAATGCTGGCAGTCTGACTCTCTTGTCTGTTCCTTCATATGTTAGTTTACCTACTGTTACAATAAAGGTGCATGTGAATTACAAGTCTGAACTCAGCATTACATAATCAATAACTATAAAGAGAAAAGGTGAACTTCATTATTTAAAACAAATATTCCAGTTTTCATCTTGAAAGAATATACGCTCTTCAAAGTCTGTATTAAAACATACACTTTATTCCCACTAGTAACTTACTGAAAACAATTCAGAGGTAGAAAACACGATTTCCGAAGGACTTTCTGATTAGAAATCATTCACCAGACACCACAGTTAAAGGCTTTTTATAACTCACGTTCTGTCAAGAACAGTACAGCTCATTAGAGTCTCTGCTGGAGATTCAGACAGTTCTGGTTCATAAGTATTTGTACAAAAGCCATAGGAAAGTATTCAGCTAACAAACGGTCAGTGCAATATGTGTCTGTGTTTTTGCGCATAAAATTAAGGATAAGGTTTTCTTTTTCCCAATATAATCCTTAAATAATTTTTCTTAAATCTGTATGTAAACATCTAACTAAAAGGCCAAGTTTCCAAAAATGCTTAAATCAATGGAGGCCCACTGCTTTTGAAAAATCTGTCATTCTTAAGGAGAAACCCTTCATGCGGGAGGGTGGGATTCAGTCACTTATATTTGGGAGCTCTTGAGCTTGAGTTTTTGAAGGTTAAACAAAGTAAATGCACTAAGAGACAAAAGGAAAAAATAGCAGTATAGTTTATGTTCCTGATGGTTCCACTAGGGAAAAAAAAAAAGTCTCGGGCACAGAATATGGCATGTAGATGCCTACATCACCTGAGGTGCTATGAAACACAGCAAATATAGCCAGGCTATTCTAATAGCTTTTTTTTTTTTTAACTTACTTTGGTAATAACACTGTTGAAAGAGAAGCTTTATCTGGCTTAACTTAGGCCAGTTTCTCAGAAGATGGAAGCCAAAATGAAACTGACAAGAAAGATTCAGAAAGTTAAGAATAAAGAGATGAAGAAACAAAAAGCCTAGAAGTATGAATAGCAGAAGCTGTTCAGTTCATGTTTTAGATGCTTCTCAGGCACTCTTATTCCCTCTTTTCCCTTTCCTTACTTGATCTCTCATGATACCAGTATCAAGAAAAAATTAAGAAATTAGAAAAGTAATAAATACACCAAATTGCAGGAGATTTATAGATCCTTATCTATCCTCATCTGGAATGTTTAGTGTGTGTTTAAGTGACACTTAGGATTTTACAAATACTAATTATAATAACCACTCTCTGAAGAGAGCAGTTTTATTATCTCCATTTTTTCCACACTTGGGAAACTGAGGCAGAAGAATTTAGTGAAGTGTAAATAACATGAAGTAAAGCTGTTTGCCAATTCTGGATTCAGCTGTCTAACATTAAGCACCCACAGTGGACAATGTCAACATTATTAGCTTGTCAAAAATTAGAAGAGGAGTTCACAGCTTAGTTAAGAGTTCAGAGTTGGTGCAATGCCTTGATCCATTCCACTATGACACTTCTCAGGCTGCTGAGATACCCATTCTAATGGTCTGAGATCCTGCTGGCTTGTTCTCCAGTAGAAGAGCTGGCTCAGCTGACGTTAACTGCTTGGTAGAGAATTTGTAGTGGCTGAAGTTTAAATCAATCACAGGCTAAGTTAACAGAGACGGTCGGAAAAGTCAGATGAAAAGGTTCTTCATCAGTATTTACCAATGTGTCAAACTTGGGTATTTCCAGGGAGACAATTCAATTTTGAATGAGTTCCTCTGGAACGCTGCCTGCCAGGCAGTTTTCAAAACTTTTCAGCTTTCTTTCAGAAGTCCTTTTTCAGCCTGCCTGCATCACTGAAGGAGTACCCAAGGTTCCAGTGTCTGTG